ATTTCTACTACTATTAAAATGGTATTGGGTGTATTCTAGTAATTAAGGATATTTCGTGCAAGTCACCACTACTAACTGATACAATAGCATAATTTGGTCCAACCAAAAGACAACTTTCAAGCAAAAAATTAGACCACTCATAAGCGTGCAACAACATAAGATGTTATTACCTATTACACTTTTTCATTTTTAACAGTCAAAAAGATGCAATACTTACGTGCAATTAGTATATCTCGTCCATGAGATGGAATTTAGAACTGTGTAAGTAATTTTTACATGCAAACGAAATTCAGAGCATGAAATGAATTCAACATAAAGGAAAAATAGAGAGGCATTACAAACTAATATTGACTAATTCCTTTGGTAAACAAGACTAAAATACAACCTCATGAAATCAACGTAAATAAGACAGGTTATCAACTAGTGTTTAACAAATCATTGATAACTTAGTACTTCGAAAGCTGCCAAAAAACCAAAACTTTGGTATGTGCATAAAATTATATAACTAAATGTGATGAATTGCCTCGGCTAAGAACTTGTACCACTAGAAGTGACATTATTTATTAATTTAAATTCGTCTGAAATGAGATAGAAGATAATGCAGATTGCAGCGTAAAATAATATTACATATTAAGTGATAATCACTAACCATGAAAATTGACCAACACACATTTTTATTTTATAATGGATAAAAACACACACTTTTCTACAGCTTAGGAGAACCAGCTCCAGACACCGACAAATTAGAACCTAGCAGCAATGCATTCACAAGAGTAAAATTATAAAGCATTAGAAAGCAAGTTTTTTCTCAATAAGTTTGACTAAAGTCAATATTACATAAACAAAAGCAGGTGAGAACAAAGCAATATAATTCACAACAATCAACTTGCATATGAGATGCTATAATTGAAATCCAGTTTAGTAAAATGATTTCCAGTTGTGGAGAGTAAGCTAAAACCTTGGCAAACATACGAACTGTACCCTCAGCATATCCAAGTCGAAATTGACATGAGCTGCCATTGCTGCCAATATAACACAAGTGATGTCTGCCTCTTCTCTACATGAAATCCGGTTACTCGGGTTCTCTTCACCAAATATTCAGCCTGAGTTTCAGCAAAGTTACTGATTGAAGCGGGCAAGAATCCTGCAGAAGAAAGAAGACTCCTCCATGGAGGCATCGGGGCATGGTAGTGAAGACGGCCCAAAACAGTACTTTCAATCCCAGGTTGGAAGAGGAACTTCTCAATTTTGCTAGCAGAATCTGAAGGAATATTAGCAGCATCAATAGAGTCCAGTAGAGCTTCATAGTACTGAAGCATGTTAAGAATGTGGCATGAGAACGGGAGGTCAACTCGTTCACATCCGCGATCCAAAGAAACCAAGATCTTTGGTGAAAGCTTCTTTATGAAGCAGAGAAATGGAAATAGTAGAGACAGGTGACTTGCAAACGACCAGATAGGAAAGTTAACAGCAATGGCCTCACTCTCTGATTCCCGGAAAGAGGACAATGGACTCGAATTTGGGTCAAAAGAATCAACATTCACTACCACAAGCTCAAAGTTAACCCCGAGATCGTTAGCAAACTGGGTTAAATTTTCATGCATGAGGCTAATCTCGGCCGGATTGTGGGTTGAGGGAGAAGCAAAGCCTGTAATCTTTAACGAGGCTAATCCTCTATTGTTCGTAGGTAGCTGTTGCATAAAAGAGGACCACTGAGCACCACAACCAATATCAAAATCTATAATATGTATGTGTTCTGCGTAGTCAAGAGCTTCAAGAAGGGCCTGGTTAGCAGTAAAATTCATGAATTGGATAATGGGTGAAACCTCAGAGAAAACCTTATAAGCACCCATCTTGAACATACCATCAATTGGTGTGGGATTCCTCATTGTTGGAGAGGCGTTTGGGTTGGACATTAAAAGGGCCAATTGCAAAGCCTCCTTGAAATAAAAAGCAGACCTTTGAAATGGCTTCACTATGGGTATGAGCACATGATTGAGCCGCGCCAATATCTCTTGCGCGTAAGAGAAATTTCCAGCCAGAATCAACTCAGCAGCCTTATAGACCAGGTCATATGCAATCTGCTGTTGTGGCTGCTGCTGGCGATGGTGGTGGGCCACCATTTTCTCAACATTGCCACCATTTGTCTCTTGTTTGGGAACCAATAATGGCTTCTCCTGAAGTTGACTCAGAGGGATAAAATTAGGCTGTTGACAATAACCCACGGGAGGCTGCTCCATTTGAGGAAACTGTGACTGTGATGGGAGCAACATTTCATGACCCAGATCAACAAAAGTACTGCTTGCATTCTCAGAGCCTAAGTTTAAATTCATGTTGCCCAGATTACAACGTTTTGACTGTCGCTGAAAATGGGGGTGATAATCTTGTTGAGTACCATAAAATGAAGGGTTCAAGCTCAAAATGTTCAGATTTGATGCTTTTTGAACCTGTTGGTTAAAAATCTGCGCCTTCTGTTCTAATGTACCAAATTGCTGTTCAAAATTTACGCTAAGAGGCAAAGATGTAACAAAGTTACCAATTTTTTCAACATTGGAGTTTTCACTCAAAGAAAATTCAGAACCAAAAGGGCCTAAAGCAGAAGGATTCGGGCTCGAAAAAACATTACCAACGGGTGAAATGGCAGAGCCACCGGTAGCCAAGGCCTCAAATCCACAAATCACCGGAGAATCCTCGGAATTGCCGGCAATCCACTGGAGAAGAACCTGATCTTGGACTGCAGATTCAGACAACAATTTCTCCCAATCTTCCTGTCCAAGGTTAAATTTTTCAGCCAACCCATGACTCAACTCCATGCCAGAATTATCACCAGGCTTCAAGTTAGCCATCAGGCCTTCATTTCCTTCACCTCCAACTCCAACGCTGGCAGCGGTGGCTGTTGGCTGATTAAAAGAGGAGAGAGTAGATGTAGACGTTGAGGGGCTTGGACTCCTTGTATCCAGCACAGAAATGGGTTCATTGCCTGTAAAGTTTGCACTTTTCTTACAGTTTACTTCCAGTAGAGAAGCAGGAGAAACAAAAACTGAAGAAGCACCACCATTCGGTAGCAAATTGTTGTTATATTGTTCTCCTATCATCTAAAAATAACAAGAAACAAAAATTTATTAATTATTGAGGTCAAGAAAAGAAGATTAAATACAAGAACAAAGGGAAAAAGTAGTACGGATATGAAACAACTTGCCTTTGTGCTTCAAAAATGGGTTTGTAATTTCTTCCTCCTTTCGCCAATTTCTTCGAAAATGGGTTTGTAAATTCTTCCCCTTTTCGTCAATTTCTTGAATGGTTTTCTCAAAAGAAAAATCAAAGCCATGAATCTCTTGAGAGACCCATTAGCCGAAATAGAAAAAAACCTGCTTTCTCAACAGTCTTCTTCTCTTTACTTTTTAAATATCTGCTCCGTCTCTCTCTTTTTCCCCTTTATCTATTGGTTTGTTTTGTGTTCTTCCCCGTTGAAGCCCCTTTGAATTGCAGTACTGTACTGTGTACCATTCCCTGTTTCGCCCTGGAGCTGGAGGCTTGCATCATAAAAAAAGGAAGAGAAAGTGGACCTACTCTCTCCTCTCTGTCTCTCTCTCTCTGTGGTCGCTGTCTTTGCTTCGAACTGTTATTTTCTGTCCATGATTTTTGCAGTTTATTTCATTTTGGAAAATTTGCACTGTTAGTCCTCAATGTTTCAAATAAATCCATACCTTGTAACTATCTCAAGTTATGTTCGATTTAGATAAAAAATCAGATTTTAAATAAATTTTAATAAAATTTAACAAAATATAAGTTAAAAAGTAGTAAAATTCTTGTTGGTTTTAACTTAAATTTTAGGGATAATTATAGCCACAATATCAAACCTTTCATTTAATAACAAACTTAGCTCAAATCTTTCTTTTGTGCTACCATAAGTATCAAACTTTTAAAAATTTACAGCTCGAGTCCAAAATGACGATTTCCGTCAATTTGACCAGAAAACCATCAGTTGACTCCTAAAATAAAAGGCTTAATTATTATCCTAAAATAAAGTAGGGGCATTTTGGACAAACTACATTTCTCCAATTAAATCAAAAATTAAAAAATAAAAAATAAAATCACAACACACCCTCATCTCTTCCTTCACCAAAACTAAAACCACCCCACACAACTACCACCGCCATCGTCAACAGCACTGCCACCCAAATCCAAGTTCAAATCCAAACACGTCTGATTCCCCTAGCCATCCTAGAACCACAAAGCCAACTGCAATAGGTTGCCGCGGACTCAGATTGTTGACTATGCGTGCTCCACTCAAAATGCAAGTCTCTCTGTTTCTCTTCTTTGCATAAAGGGTCATCGCCTCAAAAACATCATGGCCATTGTTGACATCCAATACGTGAGCTCTAAGTGTATTCGCGCTCTCTTAGGTTATGATAACCGATGATTTTTGTCTATTTTTGGAGCCTAGTGGATGGCCTCGTAATATATGCACCACCATGTTTCTTGAATTTATATTGGAGGTGATTAGGTCAAATCATTAATGCATGAGGTCTTCATTTTCACAGAAAAATGAACCTTCTACTTCCAATTGCAAGCCATTTGTCTTTCCACAATTATCCGTTCGACAAAACGAGGGGAGACGACGATAGTGGTGGTGAAACCAAATCGAACAATGGAATGGACGTCAATAAATGTTGTTTTCATCCCTGAAAATCTCTTTCCAAAACTCTTATTTATGTTGATATCTTTCTGGAACTTCTTCGGTTGATTTTTGGTGAATTAGTTGTCAATCGGTTTGTGGTGGAAAAGATTTAAGACTCTGATAGTGTTGGTGGTAGTGGGGTCTCCTTTTCTGCTACGATAACGGCTTGGGTAGAAATTGAGGTGGTGGTTGGGTGGAGTGGTTCTAGTTTTGAGGGATGAGGTGTTGGGAAAGAAGGAGGCGGGGATGGGTTGTGGTTTTATCATTTTTTTTTCTATTTTTTGATTTAATAGAAAAAATGTATTTTATCCAAAATGTCGCTACCTTATTTGGGGAAAATAATGAAGTTTTTTATTTTGAGAGTCAACTGACAATTTTTGTAGTCAAACTGACGAAAATTGTCATTTTGGATTTGAGCTGCAAATTTTTAAAGGTTTAGTACTTACGATAGCACAAATGAAAGGTTTGGACAAAATCTGTTACCAAATAAAAGATTTGATATCGTTTTTTCAATTTTCACCAAATTTTAATTAACTTATTTACAGGGTGTTTGAAACTCATTTTGAAGAAAAAAAAAACAATTTTAAAATAGTAGGTTGATGCAGAATGTGTAGATGAGAAATATTTGATTTACGCGTAATATTATTTTAATGAAAAATATATGGTTGAAAAAAAGAAAGAGAAAAATACATTTAAAAATAATGAAAATCAAACGGGACCTTACTAAATCAATCAGGGGCCAAATATACCCCTTTTAGCCTTTGGGGACTTTGGACAATTTGTGTCCAAAATGAGGGGGGAAATGGATATTACTTAATTTCAATTACAAAATTGTAGAAAACGAAAAGCATGTCACACCTCTAACCCTTGGTCCTCATGTAAATTCCCAGACCACCATCGACACCATTGTCCAATAAATTCGATTAGTCATAACTTTCTCCCAGTCCTTTTTTTTAATAATCGTTCACGTCTCCCTAAACCCTACAACAAAGTGAGCTGACATTTTGCACTTCAAAATATTGGTCACGTGATGATCGTTGAAATTTTAGCCCCCGTTTGGCTCCTATTTTTTGGAAATGAAAATGAAGGAATAGTATTTTTTTGAAAAATAAGTGATTGAAAAAGAAGGAAAAAATTTCGATTTATGTGTAATATTATTTTATGAAAAATTGTGTGGTTGAAAATAGGATAGAGAAAAATGAAATGTAATGTAATTGAATTTAATGGGGGCCAAACAAGGGCTTAATTTATAAACAGATAAAAATAAGATTGAATAAATGGATAGTATTCGTGAGTCTCTTTAGAATATATAATAAAAAATGAATTTTGATCATTTATAAATGAATTATAAACTAGCCAAATATGATATGATTAATCTGTGATGTAGTAATTATTTTATTTATATAATTGTGATTGGCAATGATGGATGACAGCATTGATGATTTTGAAAACAAATTTTTTAAATGAATGAATGTAATGTTATCAAATATAATTATCAACCAAAATTGTAAAAAGAAAAAAAAAATTATACAAATGGCATGATTGTTTATAAATACATTCCCCTCATACAAGAGGGTGTGGACCCCTCCCTCATGTGAGGAATGTGTCAACGTCAATTTACAAATAGCAAAATTCTTATAAAGTAGTAAGGAGAAGTTTTAATGTACGTAATTTACGTACATAGAAGTGTTCATATCCCCTCACGTGAGGTGGAGCCCACCTCACGCTGGTTTCACCACATGTGAGAGGTGTAGACATCTTCAAGTATTCAAATTATGTACACTAAGGTAGTGTTTGATTGGATCATTTTTCATGAAAAATGGAATAAGTTTTCCATCTTTTACTCAATTAATGGTGTTTGATACCATTTATTTTCCATGGAATTGGTTTTCTTGCTTTTGTTGTCACATAGATATTTTCCATCTAATTGAGGAAAATTCATTTTCCCGATTACTGTAGCAATATTTAATTAAATTTTTTTTTTTGTGGTTGGCAATGGAGACAAATTCTAAGAATTACTGTAAAAAAAAATTTCCTTTAATTGGCAATTTCCATGTAAAACAAAGTCAAATGAATACCAAAAGATAGATGATTTTCTTGGGTTTTTTTATTTTTTTATTTTTATTGGCAATGAAAACAAATTATATCGTCAATACCAGTAAATTTTTATTCTTTTAGTTGACAATTTTCATGTAAAACAAAATCAAATGAATACCAAAAACACTTTTATTTTAACATTTTCTATGTGAAAAATTATACCAATCAAACACAATAAATTGACAATTACCAGGAAAATAATTTCTAGACAATTCAATTCCCTTAAATTCATTTTCTTTCCAACCAAATTTCATCTTTATAATCAAATAGACTCTAAATACAACCTAAACAGTACAAAGGGTGGAAAATAGGGCTTCAAACGGCGGCAAGTAGCGGTTTCCGCCGGTGATTGAATTTTGAAAAAGCTTCGGCCGGCAATGTCAGGACAGTAAAAAGTTAAAAAAGGTAGCTGTAGTCAGTGGTGGGGGCTTTTTCTGTTTAAATTTTGGAAAAGCTGATGCCTTTTTATCCTCTGGGTTGTAAATAGTTCTCTAATTGAGGGCATTTTTGGTCTAAGAACTGACTTTTAAAATGTCAGGATACGTCCAATCGGACATCGGAATTACCCTTAGGGTGCGTTTGATTACAAGTAGGAAAATTACATGGAAAGAAAATGAATTCCAAGGAATTGAATTACCTAGAAATTGTTTTCATGGAAATTGTAAATTATTGTGTTTGATTGTATAAATTTTTCACGTGGAAAATGTTGAAGTAAAAGTATTTTTTTATGTTCGTTTGATTTTGTTTTACGTGGAAATTGTCAATTTCAGGGATATCCTCTTTTACAATTATTCCTAAAATTTGTTCCCATTGCCAACAATTAAAAAAAAAATAAAAAAAGCAAAAAAAAAATAAAAAAAAAGGTGGAAAACCAAAAACCACCTATCCCCTAGGAAAAAAAAAGGTGGAAAATCACGCTTTAAGGTGTTGTACCTAGAAATTCATGGAAAATCAATTCCCTAGAAAATTTTGTCAATCAAACAGGCCAAAAGTGGAAGTTGGAATTCGAATTCCAAAAGTCAAAATCAACAACTAATTTTAACCACACATTTTTGGAACTCACAACTTTTCGATATCATATTTCAACAGTTTTTATTAAAAAAATTTCTAGTAATAACCATGAGAGAATATTTTTGAGGAATAATTGTAGCTACGGTCCTAAACCTTTCAATTTTTGCAATATTTACTCTAACATTTTATTTGTTGCAACCACGATCACAAACTTTTTGTTCTTGTGCGATGAAAGGACATATAGACAATTTCCATCCATATATCCATTAAGTGAAGAGAAAAAATGATTTTAACCATATTTTTAATATTTTTAAAAATGACAAAATAGTACTTTATTTATCACATTAAGTAATTAAATTAAAAATAAATAAAAAGAAAAGTTGATCTTCTTTTGCAAATCGTCGGCATCACTACTCGCTTAACCTTTCAACCACTTCCTTAAATTCATTATTATTCCTCACTGCACTCAAATCCACTCAAAATGTGTAAAAAAAATAAAATTCTAGAGATCCTCGAATAAATGTGAACAACGAATTGCAAACAAAAAGGTGTAAGTTGGTTTTTGCTCATAGAGTGATGGTGAGGAGGTGGGGGCGGGGGGGGGCATTGAAGGCGATCCGGGACTGGTGGCTAAAGCCACGAAATTGAAAAGGGCATTGCAAAAAAAGAGAGGCTACATGTATAGGGTGGGGTTCCCCATAACAAAAACAATAGGTAGGGTGAGTCAAATTTTTTTGGCAATATTTTAATTACATGGGATCCACCTCATGTGTCTGATCTGGAAGGGTTCTAGTTCTGTGAACCCCTACTCTATACA